AAATTTGGGCCCCCCGCAAAAGAATGTTTTTTTAAAAAAAAAAAGAGTTTTATAGTATAAATATAATTGAGAGTATAACTTAAAATATAACTTTATACTATAAAACTCTTTTTTTAAAAAAAAAAGAGTTTTATAGTATAAAGTTATACTCTCAATAATATTTATAAAAGTTATACTCTCAATAATATTTATACTATAAAACTCTTTTTTTAAAAAAAAAAGAGTTTTATAGTATAAATATTATTGAGAGTATAACTTTTTTTATATGAGGGCCCCCTATAGCTGGTAGGCCCCCCGCAACGCAGGGTCCTGCGTCCAGTAATTCCGCCACTGTATATATATATATATACATATATGCGTATATATACATAATTTATGTATTATTTACGTCATAAATATTACATAAATTATGTATATATATATATATATATATATATATATATATATATATATATATATATATATATATATATATATATATATATATATATATAATATGAATATATATATATATATATATATATATATATATATATATATATATATATATATATATATATATATATATATATATATATATATATATATACATATATATTATTTATTTATAAATCTTTATTTAAAATTGAATAGCATTACAAGTAATGAATTGTACAATTTATCTATCATTAAATACTAAATAAAAGATTGCCTAAAATGTATGCAAACATTATATATGGAAAAAGCAGTGAACTCCTAATGTTTTTTGGCAGAAGAGGTCGCTGATACCATCACAATGAATACGAAGTTATTTTTAAATAAAAGATTGTTGATAAGTGGTGGTCTTTGCAGTATTCAGAGCAAATGGGAATCTGTTTGGATTTCTGCTATTGGTGTGTTGGTAAGTACTTCTCTTAGTTATTTCTGCTTTAACTAAATTTTTAATCAATTTTTTTCTACCTTAAATATCTATTTACTAATGCAAATTTTTACATAAACACAAGAAACAAGCTCTGCTGTTTCTTTCTTGTAAGTGGGAATTTATGGTTGAAAGTGTAATAACCTTCCTTCCCATGTATCAAATTTACTACAGGCATTAAGCATTTAAATTATACAAACTAATTTTAGAATTAGACTGTACTGTATAAACTAAATTGGACTGTACTGTACAAATTAATTAAAATTAAACAAAAAAGGAAATATTCTCATTAAACTATTTAAGGTAAATTAAATGTAAAACAAATATTTCCATTAAACCATGTTAATTAAATTTAGTAATAATAAGGTAAATATAAAACGAACAGCTGCACCACACGGTATAAACGTAATTTTAATATAAACAAGAGCTAAAACGAATAATTTTAATAAACCCTATAAAATTAAAATGAATATAAACGAATTAATAAAAACAAAACGAATACCATCACTAAATCGTACTACTAGAATAAAATGAATTTAATATAAAACAAATATTTATAGTATACCACATTTATTTAAACTAAATTTAAACTAAATACTAAAAGAATAAATATATTGGAACGTATATACTAATTTGCAGTCATCTCCGATTGAAAATTAATGTCAGCACACGAATAAGCGCTGACAGGATGGTCAAATTTAAGTTAACCTGCTACGATTTACAAAATTTCTTTTTTCTGCTATTTAAGTTAAAATAAATAGCGGAAAAAATGTTTTGAATAAATACTAGATAAAATAATTAAAAAAAAAACTGTTAATGACAATTACTTTCCTCGGCTATTGTTTTTTTATATCTGTTTATATTTACTACATTTAACTTTGATTAAATTTTTTTATTTCTTTTCTCAGAGGCTTTTTGTTTTCCACTGGACATCTATCCTTTTGTACTTTTATCTCAATCTTCTACACTCTTTCTAACTTATTAAGCTTTTCTAAGGCGTTCACCGCTCAGTTCAGTTCTACTAGAATGCATTGCATTCAACACAAAAAGATAACTAAGTGGTTGATGATATGTGTCAGCAAGGATCTTTTTAAGGATATTAATGCAAATCTTGCCTAGTAACTCTTCAATGGCAATACTAATATTGTAGCTGCTCGAATTGGTTACATCAATTCTAATAATGTTAAGAGCATTTTTATGGAAATGCTGCATCTCTTTTTTTGCAGCAGGACTGCACGAAGTAAGAACAGGAGCACTATATATCAAGTGACAAATAGCGTAAGATCTATAGACTTGTAGAAGGTTGAGCTGAGTGTGTCTAATTTTCCTAAGGCGTTTGAGTAAATATGGTACTGATTTTTTATTGCTGTGCACTTTAGTCCATTGTTCATCCAAATCAAGATTCTCATTGAGCATGATTCCAAGATATTTGTTGTTGTTGACTTTTTCAAGCTCAGTATTTTTGAGTACGATAGAAGGTATAGCTTGAATTTTGGAGCACCTTGGATTAATTCTAATGGTTTTACATTTAGAGCTATTAAGTTTCATTCCATTGACAACAGACCATAGTGAAACACAGACCATGGATACAATGGATTGAGGTACGTTGGCAGGAACTTTATCATAGATTATATAAGTTAGGATGTCATCAGCATATTTTTTGGAGAATGGTTTCAGGTAGCCTTTAATATCAGAAATAAAGAGAATGAACAAAATGGAACCAACACTACCTTAAAGTACTCCGACTTCAATACATTTCCAGTCAGTGATAAGATCATTTGTTTTAACTCTTTGGCAACGGTTAGATAAGTAAGCTGCAATCCAGGAAGTTAGCCAGCTAGATAGAATATTTATTAACTTTAGCAGTGACTTGTCATGTCTCATGTCTAAGATCAAATGTTTTTGCAAAATCAAAGAACATTGCAAAAAATGATTTGTTATTATCTTTAACATAACTCCAGTTCTCTATAATTTAAATAATAGCATCCATTGTACAACGTCCTGGAAGAAAACTAAACTGTTTGTTTGAGACCCATATGTGCTTGGTGTAATGGTTAATGAAACTAGTAATAATACATTCAAAAACTTTGCATAATGAAGATGTAATTGCAATCGGACAGTAGTCTTTAGATGAGAGTGGGTTAGATATTCTAGGAATTGGTGTTATGTTTGCTGATTTCCATTGGTCAGGTAGGTAACTATAAGTCGGTTAAATAGGTGGTTAAATACAGAGTGATGGGCTAATTTCAAAACGAGCAGATTTGAGTAAAATTGGAGAAAGATCATCTGGTCCTAACGATCCTATCTTTAGTTTTTTGAGTTGATTGAGAATGTTATTAAGTGTAAAAATTAAGGTAATAGGTGAGTTTATTTTTCGGTTGATAAAGAACAAGAGGCTAGATTGTTTCTCACCGAAACACGTTGAAAATGATTGTTTAATCGGTATGCTAACATCTCAGAGATGGGGGTGGTAATTAGTCCTTTATCTGCTAGCCTGATTTCTCGCCAGAAGTCAGTTTTTCCAGAAGAAAATTGCCTGTTATAAATTCGTTTTCTTTAATTAATTTACTGACTCGATTGGCAAGTTCTTTCCACTCGTTGTAGTGCCCAGAGAAAAAAAGTCATCACGTTCTTTTATAAAGCTTTGAATAAATGACCATTTATTCACAGTCATTTAGATCCATGTACAGCGAGTTATGGCTGGCTCAATAAGTTGTATAAGTTGATAAGATAGATTACGCTGCTCACTTTGAGATCATACTGGAATATAGGCACATATTACTAGACAGGAGGAGTATCCACGAGGGAGGTATTTTAGGTATACACAAGCAATTGTTAATTCAATTTCTTGTTTAGACACTAAGTTAGACGCATGGTCGGTCATTAATATTTTTTGTTCTATTTTATCTGATATTTTTTGTTTATGAATATAATATTACCACCACCTATGCGATCCTGACTTCAGTGCTTATGTAAATCTAATTATTATTGATTTGGGAAATGATAGTTTGCTTACCACTAGAGTTTAGCCGTGTTTCGGTTAGCCAGGCAATGTCATCGTTAGAATCTGTAAGAAATTGATTAAAAACCTTGTTACATAGTAATGTTTAATGACTGATGAGCCAATATCGGCCCAATGTCTGTTGTTCTGCTTCGGTAAATCTTCGTTGGACCATTAATGGTATTTTTGCTACCCAGCTTTATTTTTAATAGGTCTATTTAGTGAAGAGGCTCAAGAAGCTAGAAATAAAGAGTTTAGAAAATATAGGGAACATCATTCCTGTAAAAATTCAAGAATGAAGGCAAATGAAGATGTAATGAAAAGACTTTTATGTACATCTAATCCAGTTATTTCATCTTATAGAAAAACTGTTTCATCAGTAAAAAAAATTTCTTGCGGGTGTTGTTGAACTTTTATTTCCAAAAACTCTACGTTCTAGAATAAAGTAGAGATGTACCGGATATATTTGCCGGATATGCCGGATATTGAACTTTTCTAAAGTTCTATAAGTTTTTTTCAAGAAAAAACAAGTCTTGCCAGATATAATAAATAGTATTAAAGATCTTACTTCAAAAAATCAAGAGAAAAACTGTATGACATGGGATATGTGCTGACTAAAAAAACAAAAATTTGGTTGTAAAAACGATTTTTCCTTATACATTAATAACGCATATACCTGTGTCATACCAGTTTTTTTTTGATTTTTTTTTTAAAATCTAGAACACTATTTAATGTAGAATGACAAGACTTGTTTTTTTTCAAAAACACTTATAGAACTTTAGAAAAGTTTAATATCTGGCCAAAATATCCGGTACACGTCTAGAATAAGACGAATCTAATTTGTAGTTTTTAATTGTTATTTAAAAAATAATAAATTTTTATATAGATTTTAAAGTTTTTAGTATTAAATATGAGCTTGATATTTATTTGATTTGATTTATATGGTTAATTTACAACAGTTCTAATAATAATAAAAAAATAATAATAATTTTGGCACAAAAAATACGGTTTTGTCTCACTGTACCCAGGAACGCTTAAAAAAGCCGCTCCAATGTACCAAGATTTTATTCGTGTAAAATGAAGACGTTCTGTATTATATTCACATATACTACGACACTATAAACAATGGACATAGAAGTTGGAGCTGCTTTGCTTCCAAATATTCTTATTTCAATTGTTTTTCTCGCGATCGGCGTTGTATCGTATGTCGTATTCTTTAAAAAACCCGATGAAAGTCATTTAAATAAAACTGATGTTAATCAAAAAGTGAATAACCACTCAGAAAATGGGGAAAATATGTCAAAAAGCAAAGTTCAGCTGGGAAAAAAAAAAGTCTCCAAAGAACCCTCTAAAAAAAATAATGCTAATTCAATCGGAAAAGAAATAAACCATTTACATCCTTATTTAATCACATCTTTAAAAGGTCATACTTCTTCAGTGTTAGGCTTAGATTTTAGCAGCAATGGAAAATATCTTTTGTCTTGTTCTGAAGGTACATTTCTATCTTTTTTAGTTTCACATGTTTGATGCAATATATATCTTTAACAGGCATAAATAGTTTAATGATAAAAATTTGAAAAAATTGATATTTAGTGATAATGTTCTTTTTTTTGTAATGTTTTTGTAAAATATAATAATCTAAAATAACAAATACCATATATCCTTCAAAAACATGTACCGATGCTACTGCAAGTAGCTGTTTCACTATAACATCGTCATTGATGTTTTGATCATAGTTTAACCTGGATTTTTGTGTCTATATATATATATATATATATATATATATATATATATATATATATATATATATATATATATATATATATATATATATATATATATATATATATATATACATACATATATATATATATATATATATATATATATATATATATATATATATATATATATATATATATATATATATATATATATATATATATATATATATATATATATATATATGTATATATATATATATATATATAAATATAAATATATATATATATATATATATATATATATATATATATATATATATATATATATATATATATATATATATATATATATATATATATATATATATATATATATATATATATATATATATATATATATATATATATATATATATATATATATATATATATATATATATATATATATATATATATATATATATATATATATATATATATAAAAGATTTAAGTCTATATATTGACAAACAAGCCCAGCTAAAAATCAGCAAACTTATTTATGATTGTCATATCTATGTATTAAAGCCCTTGTAAATAGGTATGTGAAATAAAATTATAAAATTGTTTATATACTAGATTGTTATATATCATTAGAAAGGGTTTTCAACACAGTATTTTAAAATAAAAAAGTTTTCAAAATTCAACAAACCTACCAAAAGTTATAGCGTTTTCTTCAGTAAAATTGTTATAACTTTGTCAAAACTTATTTAAAAAACTATATCTTGGTTTCAAAAGATAGGTATATGAAAAGACTATATGTTTACTACTGAAAAGCCTATGTGTTTACTATTGGTCACTAGTCAACAGGTTATTCCAGAAAGTTAAAGGGGCACTAAACCACCAACTTTACAATCCAATAAATCTAAATTTCATCGATAAAAGTGTGTATTTAAATGAAGTTTATATTCTACTTGATTACAATATATACAAGTCTATGTTGTATATATTTTTATCTAATTTCTTTTACTGTGTGCCAAAGTTACCAAAATAAAACTTGAATGCAATTATGACACCTAATGTTGCTTGGTATAACCAGAGTCGGAGCTGCTCCAACACCTTAACTATCCAAAAATACATATTTCTTTAAACTAAAATCAAAGAAAATTTTAATTTTATAATTATTTTATTGTTATAAAATGTGAAAAAATTATTATTAAAAACATGCTAAAAATTACCTATTCATCTGTGTTGTGCTTATTTCCTTTTGGGATAGGGTCTCCCCCTCCCCCCCCGCAAGCAAATTAAATTTTTTTTTAGAAATCAAAAGTGTAATAAATTTGTGTTATCAAAATAATATTATACATTATGACATAATAAAATAATACAATACAACTTTATAAAGTAATATTATACAAATGCTATTGATGGAATACTATAACTGTTTTAAAATAAAAAAATAATAAAAATCTCCATAACAAGCAATCATTTTAACAATAGACACCATATAAAAGTAAGCCAGAGCAGTCTATTGAAAATTTTATGCAAAATTCATCACTTGCAATACCTATTTGCAAGTCACAACACCTGCGGTATTTACTTCACAACACCTGCGGTATCTACATATTTCGTTACTTGCAATACCGTTTTACAAGTAGCAATCTGCCTCATGTCATGCTGCCTTTTATGGATATGCTTTTGTAGGCAAAAACTAGGAAAAGCCAACTCCAACTTAAAACACCCCTGCCTTGGGGCTCTTGGTTGAGTAAAGGCTAGAAATGGTGTCTTGATAAAAATACTCATCTTGGGCAGATTTTAAATGCATCTGGCTACTGTCTTGTAGAAGGCCTTCTAGGCAAAGACTTAAGGGGTAAGCAGATTCTATATGTTGACCAGCCTCGCACCCCTTCTTTAACTATTAGGCTGGAAAAAGATGTTGTTTCCAGTTTAGCATTTAAATGCTGGATCTTCTTGACTCATTGCATAGATTTTGCTGTGAGACCAATATGAGCTATCTCATTTTCTGATAGTGTTATGGTTATTTTTCTTTAATTCGTAAAGACTCAAATAGTCACATGCTTGGCCTGGGCATTTTTATTTGTAAGTATTCACCTTTTTGTCAAGAAACTAGGTTTGAATACACGGACTATTCTTTTATGTGCTTTCCTTTAGTACCACTTCATTTTATTGCCTTTCTTTTTGTTTAATATCACACTCCTTCATCTCAAGAATGCACTCTTTTTGATGTTATTTCTGATAAAACTATTTATCAGCCAATATTGTTGTTGTTGGTGACTTTAATTCTCATCACACTGAATAGCTTGGCTCTAGTGTCAGTGACTCTGCAGGTGTTAAGGCCCACAACTTTTGTCTTTCTCAATCTCTAACACAAAAAGTCAACTTTCCAACTTGACTTCAAGACAATCCAAATCTTATTAAAATTTATAGAAAAGACAATGCAACTTTACAACAATAAGAAAGAGGCTCAAACTTGGTAGATAAAGCAGGTCCTATTATGTTTACATAGCGTTTCAATAGAAGAACCAGCCAAATATAACTATTGTTCTGTACAAGGACAAGTGATTTGATGACAAAACTATTCTATACAGAACAAATAAGAGATTTCTAGAGGTAGAGAATAGAATTAGAAGTAAGTTGATGTTGAGCAAGATAAAGAGAAGCAACTTTAGTAGATGCTAACTTTGCAATTGATTGTATATATGGCTTCCATATATACAATCAATTACAAAGTTAATAGCTGTTTTATTGTATTAATATTGTTCACTACTGATCTCTCGACAGGGTTGCCATTCATTGTTATAGGGATGTCGTCAGTATTTCAATAGTTATTTACCGTTAATAGATAATTTTTGTTACTGAAGTGAGGGCAGATTCAAGATCAGCTGCTTGTTCTAAGTAATCGAAAAGAGACTTTTTGTCAAGATAAAAGTTTAGAGTTGAGTCATCAACAACTAGAGCCACTTAAGGTTGTCAGGAAGATCATTAATGTAGATAAGAAACAATACAGGGCCAAGGATAGAACCTTCAGGTACATCAGAAGTTACCGGAAACGTAGGAGAGTTTTGGTCTTCAAAGGTGACTTTAATAAAGCTATTAGAAAGAAATGATTTGATGATCTCAAGATCAGATAAACTATATGAAACAAGCTTATGGAGAAGACCAGCATGCCAAACTTTATGGAAAGTTTTAGATATGTCAAGAGCAATAGACCTTGCCTCATCGCCTCCATGTGATGCATGATAGAATCTTACAGTCACAGCAGTTAGCTCAAGTCAGCCATAGAACAAGAAAAATAAAAACTTTATTGACTGTCTGACAGTAAGTTATTTTACTAAATGTGTTAGAAACTTGTTCATGAAAGACTCAAACACTTTGCTAATACTAGAAAGATGACTGATCCAAAGATTGTTTGAAAGTTTCGAATTTACTAAATAGTTTAGAGGGAATTACAACAATCAAAATAATTAGAGTTGCTAATTATTTTGATTGTTGTTCTCTGTTTTTTTATTTTACTAATTTTATTCACCTTTCTTTTTTTCGCTAAAATTAGCAAAAGATTGTTATTAATTTTTAATTTTATATTTGTTTTGTAGAAATTTTATGTGTTTGCATTTTCGTTTTGTAATTTTTGCTTTCATTTTGTAGTTTTTGTGTTTGCATTTTCGTTTGTGTAAAGTTTGTCTTATTTGTGCTTTTTTGCTAATTATTTTAATTTTTGTTGGGTGTTTTTTATTAATTGAGTAATTTTATTAATTCAGTGTTTTCATACTTTTTGTCTTATTATTTAATTTATTATAGCTTTATCGTTATAATTAATTTAAATTAATTCAATTTATGCATGCTTTTATTTATTATCATTGCTGTTGATTTTTTTTGTTTGTTTATTTTATTTTGGTGTCACTCCATTGACTAGTTTTTAACTATGAGTGACTTAACCTAACTTTGTCAAATTATAAAAAACTTGTAAATTTTTAATTTTTGGTTAACTAAATGGTTAAAAAACAACAAAAAAAAAACACAACAACAATACAAAAATACTGTTATACAATATAACGTTTTATAAAACCGATTGATCCTACGTTATAAAAGTTAGTCGTTTCTCTTCTTCTGTGAATAAAATGTCATCAAAATTTTGATGAGCACTATAATAACAAGTTTTTTTTAAAGAAAGTTTTGGGATTAAATTACTTTAATTAAATTGATAACTTAAATTTAATAAAAAATAAATAATTTTTATACTAACAAAATTAGTAAATTGATAATTTGTAGTTAAAATTAATTTGAACATTCTGTGCCTTAAAAGCAAAAAAAGTTTATGCAAAAACTAACGCCACATAGGGTAGAGGCTAGTATTACTTAATAATCAAGTTACTTTTTTTAGCATATACTTATTTTTATTTTTTTATTTTTTTTATTTAAAAAAGAAATGGTTTTAAACATGAAGTTTGCCATCCATTTTAAATTACATTTTTTATTTTAAATTACATTTTTAAAATACAGAAATTTTTAAAGAATAATTACATTAAAAACATTAAAATTTTAATTTTTTTTACCAAAAAGTTTATTTTTTATGCAGGCTTTACTTTACAAGTATAAACTGACTTAAATTGGGTTATAGCCCACTATAACCCAATATGCTGAACCATGTATATATAAGATAAGAATAAAATAAACAACTTTGATAAATTATAACATAAGAATAAAATAAGTCTTGTTGGAAGTGATGATGTTAAAAAAAAAAAGATACCAGTCAGTTAGTCAACTTAAAAGACAGATTCTCTATGTTAATATGCATATTTCAAAAAGTCCATCATGGATTTAATATTATATGACATATTTAAAAAAATACATCATGGATTAACATCATTGTTAAACATAAAAACTGATTAACACACTATAATAAACTACCTTGTGCAATTAAAAACTTGTCATGTTATCTTTTTGAAAATTTTCTTCACTCTTTATTCACGTTATTCATTTGTTTTCAATAGATAAATATATATTTTTTCATATTCCCTATCAAAAATTTTGACTAAAATATCATGAGTCTAAAAGAATGCCCCAATATTTAAAATAAAAATAATATTTGTATTGGAAAAAGAAAATTGTAAAAAAATAATTTAAAAAAATAATTTTTATATAATTTTTTTGCATTAAAACATGAGAACAAGATATTTATATATAATTTTATATATAAATGACTTATATAAAGAATTTCAGAAAAATACTTTTGTTTCTTTATTAAACAATTTCAAAGAAAAAGTGTGAGAAGTCACATAATTATTAAAAATTTATTGTTTTTATTACATTTAGATAGAACTGTAAGATTGTGGAGTGTTAAAGATTTTTTTGCAAAAGATCACAAGTTAGTTTTTTTTTTAATTTTATTTCTATTCATAAAAATTATAATAGTTAATAATAATTTATTTTTTAATAATATAAATTCATTTTTTTATATCAATATAATAGTTTGTTTTGATTCTAATTAAGGCAAAATAAGTATTTGCTATTGCTGTTAAGTCCCTGATTAAATGGGACCAGCCACTTAATTAAACACTTGTTGAGATTTAAGTCACTTCTTAGTTACATGAATTTTGCTGATACCTTTTGATGATTTTTTTCACATCTAAAGAAATTTTTTTTAATTTTTTAATTTTTTATTTGATAGACTGCCTGCCCAAACCAAATCCTCAGTTGATGTAGCAGCACTCCTTGCATGTTTACCTATTTGTCAGTCAATTTAGCAGCACTCCCATATGTTTTACGTATTTGTCAGTCAATCTAGTAACACTCCTCGCATGTTCAACCTATTTGTCAGTTGAAGTAAACAGCAAAAATATAAAAATAAAAACATTCAGAATATTTTTATTAAAAATAAAAATGATAATGAATAAAAACATTCTTTTAAATAAAAACATTTTATGAAAAAAATAATTTTGGATCTTACTGTATAGAAAATGACATTTTTACTAAAAATAAAAAACATGCATTTTTATAAAGATTTTAGCTATTGTTTTTTTTCATCAATGTTTTTATATAAGATAATTATTATTTTTGAAGTTTTTATATTATTTCTTTTCTTTTGTGATCCAACAAGACATACTTTTAAAAAACTTTTTTTAATCATTATTAGGGGCTAATTAAATGTTAAAGGGTCTTGAGGCACCACTAAAAATATTTTTTATTCAAATATTTTTTAAATTTGTTATTTTATCAGAACACATTAAGGTAAGAGCTGCAGATATTTTTCAAAAATATTGTTTTTTGAACCACTCTTATATATATATTAATATCTTAATTAATATTAATGAAATATATATCCTAACCTATATTATCTATGATAAGTTTACTGCCAATTAATCTCAATCCATTGCTGATGGCGTTGCACATTGGTCTGTGGCCAATGGAATGAAACTCAACAGCTCAAAATGTAAAGTTATTAGAATCAATACCTGGTGCTCCAACGCTCATGCTCTTCCATCTCCCATACTCTATAAAACTGAACTTGAAATTGTATACAGCTACAGGGGTTATTCTAGGAAAAAAATATGGGTGGCGGTAACCTCCATCCCGGAGAAATTTATTGGAAATATTGCCGAATATCAGTGTCTTTTTGTGTAAAACCTTTGAGAGATCTTGATTGAAACTTTGGCAAAGGTTAACCTGACCTTGGTCAGGTCAGGTTTATCCTGCTACCGGTAGCATGTAACCCAGTACAATCTGCTTCCTGTCCTGCTGCCTTGTAGGATATGCCTTTTTAGGCAAATGCTAGGAGATGCAAACTCCAACATAAAACACCCCCTGCCTTGGGGCTCTTGGTTGAGTAAAGGCTAGAGATGGTGTCTCGATAAAAATACTCATCTTGGGCAGATGTTAAATGCATCTGGCTGCTGTCTTGTAGAAGGCTTCTTGTAGAAGTAGTCTTGCTGTCTTGTAGAAGGCAATGACTTAAGGAGTAAACAGATTCTATATGTTGACCAGCCTCACACCCCTTCTTTAACTATTAGGCTGGCAAAAGATGTTGTTTCCAGTTTAGGATTTAAATGCTGGATCTTCTTGACTCATTGCATAGGTTTTGCTTGTGTCTCTGTTTTTATGACTGGCAACTTATTATTATCTCCTAATGAGGGTACAGCTCTAAAACTCAGTTTTATGGTTCTGAGGGTAGTTAGTAGTAAGGTTTCCTGAACACTGTGGTAGCTCTCAGAGGGGCTGATTCCATCAACAGCTGAAAAATATCAAAGTACTAACAGTGCCATGTTGCGCATGGATGGTGTCCCTGTTTGTACTTTTGGTGTGCATTGCCAAGGCCACATTGGAGCCCTTTGTTACGGCTTAGGGTTTATTAGTGGAAATGACGCAATTGCTTGGGCTATAAAATAGTGTTCTGAATACTATTTACGTTTCGAGTCAAGTTCTTTAACAAATTTAAAAATGAATAAAGTAACAAAAACTATAAAACACAAAAAACCACAGTCATCACTAAGTTCGCTAAACCTATCATTCACCAATATTCGTGGTCTTCGAAGTAACTTTTCTTCTGTTGAGTCTTATCTCTTGCAAAGTTCACCAGACCTACTTGATCTTTGTGAGACTAATTTGAGTTCTTCTGTCTCATCTTGTGATCTTAGTGTTGATGGTTATCTTCCTTTATTTCGTAAATACTCCAATAGTTACATGCTTGGCCTGGGCATTTACATTTGTAAGAATTCACCCATTTGTAGGCAAACTAGGTATGAATCCACAGACTACTCTTTTATGTGCTTTCATTTAGCACCACTTCACTCTATCACCTTTCTCTTTGTTCTATATCGCTCTCCTTTATCTCAAGACTGCACTTTTCTTAATGTTGTTTCTAATTATATTGACCAAGCCCTCATTCTTTATCGATCAGCCAATATTGTTGTTGTCGGTGACTTTAATGTTCATCTGCTGCAATTGCCAGTTCAGACTTTGTCACCTCACCTAAAGACAAAGCTAAATTGTTTGCCAAGAACTTTTCATCAATATCATCTCTTGCCACTAGTTGCGTTTTACCTGATATAGCCGCCAAACAGGTTGATCCATTGCTTGACATCTGTATCACTCCAGCTTCTGTATCTAAAGTGATTTACTATTTAGACTCTTCTACAGCTTGTGGCCCGGACAACATATCTGTTATAGTCTTGCAGAAATGTTCTCTGGAGCTGTCGTCTACCCTTTCAAAACTATTTAACAAGTGCTTATCAGAGTCTTGTTTTCCAGCCTGCTGGAAAGCAGTATCTGTTATCCCTATTTTTAAAAATTCTGAAGAGCGATCGGATTTGTCTAACTATCGCCCCATTAGTCTTCTTTCTATCATAAGCAAGGTTTTTGAATTTTTAATTAACAAACACTTAATCTCTCATCTCGAATCTCATAACCTACTTTCTGATCATCAATATGGATTTCCATCTTCTCGTTCTACGGCTGATTTGCTATCAGTAATAACCGATAGGTTTTATCACGCATTAGATAAAGGTGGAGAGGTTAAGGCTATCGCTCTTGACATTTCTAAAAAGTTTGATAAAGTTTGGCATGCTGGTCTACTCCATAAGCTTTTTTCTTACGATGTATCTGAAAACATCATTAAGATTATTGAATCCTTCCCTTCCAATCGTAATATAAAAGTTGTTCTTGATGGACAGAACTCTTCTTCTTATTCTGTAACCTCAGGGGTTCCTCAAGGTTCAATCCTTGGCCCTATTCTCTTTTTAATTTACATTAACGATCTTTCAGATATTTTCACATCTAAGGTGGCATTATTTGCTGATGATACTACCATTTATTCTTGTCACAATAAGAAGCCAACTCCCTCTGATTGCTTGCAGGGGGCATCTTTTTTTTTTTTTTTTTTTTTTTTTTATATTCCTTTTTTTAACATCTTCGCTTCCAACAAGGCTGCAAGCAACCACTAATTAGTGTTGTAAGTTACTGGAAAAGAAAAGATGAAGATTGTAGAGCAAGATAACGATTGACAGACAACTTAAAAGATTGCAAATTAAATGAATCAGGAAAGCAAGATGAAGGAAGCAAATTCTAAAGAACTGATGTTCGAGGAAAAAAACTAGACGAATAAGAGTTTTTGGAGCACATAGGAACAGTAAGTAAGAAAAAGGATGAGACTTAATTGAATGATGAGTAATACGAGAATGAATTTTAGTAGATGGCACAAGAGATGCTAGCTCTTTAGAGCAGTGCCAAGACCAGGTCCAACTATGTTTACAATGCATTTTTGCACCTTGTCTAAAAGAGAAAGGGCATCATTAGAAGATCCGGCTCAGATATGGCAACAGTATTCTATACAAGGCCGGATTTGAGATTTGTAGAGATAAAGAATAGAATCCAGTTAGATAAAAGTTAGATAAAAGTTGATTGAAGTCAGATGGAAGTTGATAGAAGAAAACTTTTTTATTAACATCTTCACTTCCAACAAAGCTGCAAGCAACCATTATTACAGTTGGAAGTTACTGCAGGAGATAAGATGAAGTTTATAGAGCAAGATAACGATTGACATACAACTTTAAAGATTGGAAATTATATGAATATGGGACGCAAATTCTAAAGAATTGAATTTCTAAGAAAAAAACTAGACAAATAAGAGTTTTTGGAGCACTTAGGAACAGTCACAGAAACAGGATGAGACTTAATTGAATGACGAGTAACATGAGAATGAATTCCAGTAGATGGCACAAGAGACACTAACGCTTTAGAGCAGTGCCCATTTTAGTATTTGTAGAAAAGAGAAAGAGAAGCAACATGTGATTAGAGGTTAGCTGCAAGAGCTGGTCCAACTATGTTAACAATGCATTTTTGCACCTTGCCTAAAAGAAAAAGGTCATCATTGGAAATCACTGAAAAAGTCCTAGTCATCTTTGAGGTAGTTGTAGTAGGTGAGATGATAGGGGAATTTTGATGATGAAGAAAAATGAGATAATAGTTTTAGAAAGATTAAACTGTGATCTGAAGCACCCAGGATAAATGTTGAGAAACTAAGCACTGACTAGGATCATAAATAAGACATAAGTCAAGTGGGGAAGATAAATAATTCGGATTGTCTTAAAACTAAGTTGGAAAGTTGACTATTTATGTTAGAGATTGGGAAAGGCAAAAGTTGTGGACCTTAATGACTGCAGAGTCACTGACACTAGAGCCAAACCATTTAGTGTGACGGGACTAAGTAATACTTTGACTTTTGAATTGATTTCATAGGATTACTCATATTCATAATATCAAGATAGCTTTCAATCATTGAACAAAACTTAGCTGTGGAGAGCTGTCAAGAGCATCTGATATTAAATTTGAAGATTAAGTTAAGAAAGACATTACTAACTGTAGTGCTTAGAA